GAATCCGTTTCACGGCCTCCGCGTCCAAACGGCTTCGGCGGTCGAACTCTGTCTTGAGTTGTGTCAACACCTCCGCCCTCTTGGCCTCCGAGTCGCAGCCATTGGCCGCCAATTGGTCGCCAAACTGCGTCCAGAAGTCGGTGTCACTGGTGTTGCCGTACTTCACGTGAAGTTTATATTTGGACACAAAGTAGTTGTTCGTCAGAAAGCATTTGCATCGATAAAACTGCGGCCACAAGACATGCAATTAACTCATGAGTCAATCGAATCCACGCGTTCGACCACACTTACCATCGTTGGAGCGGTGGCTCAAGAAGTGGATGAATAAACTCGTGGCGAAAGTGTCTAATCACGCGAGACATGAGATAACGACAAATGTTTTGCATATCATATGATTGTGTGGTTTGTTATGCAATGCAGTTATCGTCTCAACAAATACTCACGCATTGCACGACAACTGTTAGTCATATGCTTGCGATAAACAGTACAGAATTGAGTGCATGTTATCGCGCAATGCGTGGCTTTTCGATGAAGTGCAGTGCAGTCTAACACTGCCCTCAAAGCGCACACTCGGAGCCAATGTTTACGAAAATCAAAGCCATTAATGGTTTGCAAAACACAATGTTTTCTGCAATTAGTCTCACGTTTCACACGACGTGTGCCTTAAGTGTGACACCGATTTCCCACTGATCTCAGCCACCCATCCGTGGATCTAATCGTCGGACTTCTTGAGATAGAGAGACAAAGACAATGAGAAACAAAGGCAAACGTAAGACAACGCCGGCGTCGGCGGCCAACCAATTGGTGAAAAGTATGGCTGAACTGAGTTTCAAAGATAATCGCCGAAGACTTTTGCTCGTCGATGAACTGCTTAAGAGTAATGCGATAAAAGTTTTTTTTGTATTAAAAAATGTTTATTTTATTAATGGATTTATTTTCATACATAAAAAGAGTGCACTTATTATAACAACAACACCACTAATTGCCATCAACTCATGGATGAGCACAAAGACATCGATGGTCTGGTCGACGAGATAATGGCCATCGAGAGAGGTATGGATATGCGATAACCCGGCGCACAAGTAGTCGTATTATATATATTCAATAACCGGCTGTTTATGGCATTCGCAGAGATATCGGTTGAGTTGCCGAAGAGGTCGGCCGACGATTGGCTGACATTCAAGCGATGGCTGAGCGATGATAACGGCGTCGACACCTCCAAAGTGGACGTCCAGTGGATGGACGACAGACAGGGCTTCGGTCTGACGGCCATCGCCGACATCAAGGAGTCGGACGTATTTCTAGTGATACCCCGCAAAGTGATGATTACGTGCGAAACGGCGCTCAACTCTGACCGCAATTTAGGTATTGTTTTGTGGCGTTTGCTATGAATTAGCGATGAAGTGGTGATTGAGACAAAAAAAACTAACT